GATGCAAATACAGCGTGTGGTATGAAATACCGGTGGTTACATGGCTACCCGCGTACCAGGTATCATCGGTGGACTGGAACCATGTGACGGCGGTGAAACTGCCTTTGTACACATGTGCGTGCGGTGATAGCCGTACAACGATGTGGCAGTGAAGACTGTGATGCATCCGACCGCAGACCATTATACGGAGCCATCCTACAAGAATGAAATGCGTTTGCGTCTATCTTACAAGAACGCACTACCAATGTGAGCACCATTGCGGCGATGCGAATTTCCGCGGTATCAATTACATCTGCTCTTTTGATGAGCATGTTCCGATTGCATATTGCTTTTGGCTGCCCCTGAACTCGACGCACACTTCTCCTAGTGAGTTGTCCTCGAAGACTTGCTCAATATGTTTCGATTTCATCTCGATCTCCACCCCAAATCTTCCAACTCTGAAATCGCCCCCGCTGGGCCCGCGGCGGTACATGCCATTTCGAGTAGGATCCCATTCCGTTAGTGGAACTTGTTACAACGTCATGGTGCTGATGGGATCGATGATGTTTGTACGACTCATTGGTCCGCGATTCCAGAAATGACCTAAACACCCGATTTGCTTTGTCTCCACTCGGAAAGAACAAGCGAAAGGATGCACCTTCTCGGGACGCGAGTATGCCGTGAATTGCAAGCATTTACAGGTGTCGCGTCTGCGCTCCTGACGAATGTTGATACGAGCCGTGTGATACTATGATAGCATCAGTTCCACCCCAACGCTTGATCACCTCACGGAGTCGCGCAAATGAGACTTGACTACTCTAACTAGTTCAGTGTAAGGTTATTGTTTTTTTCCTACCCGTCAATATGGGTTGCATCCAGATCTGAACGCATTTCACTTCTAGGGATCCAGGTTGCAACAAATGCTCGGTTCAGCTCACTCGGAATTCCTTTCAAAGGCACGGCTACTTGCGGTGCAGTCTTATTTCGGTTCAGGAAGAACGCTTTTTCGAGCGAGTTGTCTTCAAAACAGACCCCGTTGCGACGACACGCCTCCAAAATGTCCCGGCGAAGATGGAGTGGCGTGCGCGAGCACCCCTCCACCTCTACCTTCAGATCATTCATCGAGAAGGTGATCCCCATGCCGGTCTTCCGTAGTTCGCGTTCAAGTCTTCGCCATTTGTCCTCTGATACATATCCAATCAAATATTATGGTTTCGTACTCCTCGTCTGGGGGCCTTGGTCTGCCTGCAAATGCATCCGCTTTACTCTGCTCCCCGGGAAAAACAGCGCTTGATGTTTTCGAGTATTACATTAGTGTTAGGTGCGCTGGGGTGGCTAGCGGCTCATAGTTCGCGCAGTGCTGAAAAAATTAGAAGATAATAATATAGCTGCTCGTTGTACACGGCACATTGGTGCTCTAGACCGACACACACGACTAACTAGGCAACGATTAATGGTGCGCCGTGGAGGTGTCGCTTGGAGCACGATGACATGCTATCGGACGAAGTACACCTGGCTGTGTTACCTTCACACAGTAAACTTACCGTGTTACGGTAACACGGTAAGTCTATCGTGTTATGATTACACGGTAAGTTGGTCTGTACTCGTCCTTCGCTGTCGGTGGTGCTCAGCCGTCACCAGCTTCATCATATCATATCGACGTATTGACAGAAGCCGAGCCAAAAACCGGATAAAAAAGAGATGCAGTGACCGTCCTCAGGGGTATTAGTACTAAGTATGTAGTAATGCAAGCTCTGTAGTGCAGTGACCGTACCTAGTATCGACGACGTTTAGTATGGTCGCACGACTCTCGACTAGTAGATCGCGTGGAGCGCCCAGTCGTGCCTTGGGCGTCGCTTGTCATTTGCCGGATAACCCAGTCACTCTATGTCGCAGTGGAAACCGTGGAAACCGTGGATCGGTGCGCACGAACTGGCATGTGTAGATGAGTAGGTGGAGCTGATGAGAGCATGTTGGCTGCTTCGATTGCTTGAGTGGCCAGGCCGCTTAAAACTGGTACACGAGGGCATCGTATCATGACCGGAATGGAGCTAGTGCAGCCCCAGCGTGCTCGATGCTGCTCATATTCTCCACCAAGGGAGTAGTCACCCCTTCGTTACTACTGGTATCCCGCTCCGATACTAAAGACTGAAGAGGTAGTTGACCTCCTCGCTTCCGCTGCGATCGTTTATCACGGGATTGAAAGCGGGGCACAGGGGGGTTGAATCCAGGACAGGGAAGTTCGGGGGTTCTGAAGTAGTATCTCGTGCTCCAGCTCCTTTGCTTCGTCAGTTATACCTCGAGTAGCTCTTGGAGAATCCGTGCCAGTGCCCAACATGGTGTGGGCTTCCTCTTGGACAATAGTTACGTAGTCGCTTGATTGACACTCGTATTGACCGTTCTTAGCAGTTGCATGGGTTGGCAGGCTCTGTTTCACGTCAGCGCAGCTCTGACCAGTGTTATCAGCCGAGCTCCAGACATGCTTCCATTTAGGACGTGACTGCCGATCGCGTTGGGATGTATCTCCCTCAAGGGAGTCTCCTTCAAGGTCGCTCTGCTGCAGAATCGGATTTCTATTAGAGAAGCTGGCAGAATTCATTATAGCTGTCAGTACATTACCTCGGACTCAGTGGATGGATCTGACTCGGAGGTGCTAGACGCTACGCTCGACTCGAACTAGCTGATCGGGTCAGAGGTATCCAATGAAGATGTCTCCATGAACACTACTGCGGTTGAAGCGCGCTAGGCTCTACGGAAGGGAGGCGATTGCGATTGAGGTGTGCGGCCAAAGTCTAGAAAACGCACTGTGGTTACTGGACGAGAGCAAAATAGACCCGGCAATAGCTCGCGACCCGTTCAAACTTAGCACGTTCTTGCCACTCTGGAACGGTTACAAATGACTCAGTGCCCTTCAGTGGTGAAGGCCGTTCTTTCAGTGTTTTAGACCTACCTAACCCTTCAGTGCCAAAGGCCAATTTTTCAGTGTTGAAAGCCAATCCTGCAGTGTTGACAGCCGTCACTCGGTTTAAGAGCCATTTGAAACAACAGCAAATGACAGTAGTACAGCAATTATATTACAGCATAGCAGCGCAAACTTCGATTCATTACAGCTCAGAGCATGTTTTCGGCGATACAAATGTAAGCTAACCAGGTAGTAGCAATAGTAAAGAGGGGTGATCAGTCAATCAATGTAATCTGTGAGGATGGACCGTATCGGGGCGGCAAGCGAGAAGGTTCGCCGTCGTATCGGTTGAGTTAGTTTAGAAATGTGGCTGTCATGCCTATGGTTAGGTTGTTGTGTATCGTGTATATGCATATATATATATATATATATATATATATATATTCCTCTCTACACTAAGCTGCATTATGTGCATGCTGCAGCAGTTTACGGTACACGTATCTAGGGTAGCAGCGCGCATTTGTTTTGAAAGCTGCATGCGTTGCCAGTACCACTACTATTCTACGCTTTGCCTACTCTGCATCTTTCATCTGGATTTATAACGCGTTATTGTAACGGGGTTACACGCACAAGTGGCTACAGCCACTTGTAACTCTAACAGACACGACGTCTGTTAGAGGTTCGAAAGACTTTCTGGACCTTGGTGTAAGGAACACCAATGGCTACATACATTTGGGACCACCACGACGGGTGGTTCATACACATTTAGGATTCCTATTGGCTGAAAGCAGCATCTTTTAGCCAATGAGCGATGTGCATGTTAGCAGAATCCTGCCAACCAGCCATTGGCAGATTCCTAGTTTAGAATATTACATTTAGAGGAAGTCAGAAACATAAAACAAAAATAGCAGTTCTCATCTTTTACCAAAACCCGCTACTTGGAGTCTTTATCTTGTTTAAAGTATACTCGTGGATCTCGAGTATACTTAACTCAAGTAAAAGAAACCTACGCTTCCTCATACACGTGCGCATACGTGTAAGCCGTAGTAGTGAGCCAAGGTAGGCCCATTACAGTTATTGCTCTTGGTGCATGGCGTACAGTACTTAGTAACAGTAATTCGAAATTGCGCACGACCATCCTGTTGTGCGCTGCGCGCAACTCGAGCAGCATTTTCTAAAATTGTTTTGTTGAAGCGCAAGAGTTAGGGTACCTGGGATATGATCGATTTTGATTTGAGTTGGAGTGCATTGTTGTCACTTGGCTGATGCGACTATCGTTCCTATGGAAGCGAGTGTCGGACTGCAGCAAGATCCTGCCATTAATCAGCTTAATAAAAAACATAAAAAGTCGTAAGTATGACGCCTCGATGCGCGCGCTGGTGATGCACCTGGGTTTACTTAATTCGACCAACTACTACTACGTAGTAACTTAAGTTGATCACGCGACTACTCAAATTGGTGTATTATAATGCTTGATTCCTGCAAATGAATATAGCACGATTGCCAGCTACGCCACGCCGCGTGCTGTTTATCAGTTAATCTATGTGCAGCGTTAGGTGGTCTAAATGCGTCGTTCGCACACATTCTTGGTGTATTAGAAGATGAACGCCTAATAAGCACCAGTCTACCCCTAATTCCGTACTGTAAACCCTCGACTGCCTTAAAGGTACCAGTTATCCCAACAGGCGGAACTCCCGAAACCGTAAAGTAGTTTATTAATGTAAACGTATGCATGTACTCGCTGTGGTAGTGTCCGCTGCCGCTGCAGTCCGCTGCTTACTCCGGTACGCCAAGCGCCCTCCCGCTCGTTGCCTCCGTCCGTCCGCCCACCGCGCGCCAACTTTCAAAATGGGGGATGGGATAATCACTCCGATTCATTCCGCGTAAGTACGATTTTTAGCATTACCATGTCTAGTTTTGTAATTTCGCTTATAGTTTAAAAGCCAGTTCAAGTCGACTTGATGAGTGAATAATGTATGCAAGAGGACCGTGGTAACGTAGTCGAGATGAAAGGTCTAAGCGGTAGGTGCGGAAATCGTGACGGAGTGACACAGACAGGATTCTCGGTTAGAGGACGGAGAATAATGCTTCCCAGCCCATTTCAAGCGCTGACCAAGACCTCCGTCAACAGATCGAGATGGTCTGGCGTGATGCTCGGCGACGCAAACATGGTCGCTCCGGCTTTGAGCTGGAGTTATTTGTCTACAGGAAGAAGCCGGCCTGCCAACGCGCTACCCAGCCGCGCATCCAAGAGCAGCTACCTAGAGTAGCGGGATTTCTTCGTGAACGGCAAGTATCGGCTAGACCAGCAACGACACTCTATTTTGCTACAACCCAGGTCAGACAGCCGCCTGAAGCTCCTCTCGAAGTGCCAACTAAGACCCCGACCAATTTCGTAGTGCCGACCAATTTTATGTTGCACAACTATCATCCAATTACACCATGCAATTGAAAATGCAGTGGCATTATTGCTGCTACCGTGGCGGCAGATTTTAAGATTCCGGCCAGTACTCTGCGAAAGTGGGCCGGCAACGCTAGGAAAGGAATACCAAGGCAGCGTTGCGGGCCAAAGCCACTGCTGCCTCCAGAGGCCGAAGATGCAATCCAAGACTGGATAATCGGTCGCCAGATCGTGCGTCACCCCGTGGGCCGAGTGGAGATCATGAAAAAAGCGACGGAGATATCGGAGTTGATTGCGGGCCGTTCGGTTACGGACGGTTGGTATAAGCGCTTCATGCAGCGCCACCCTGACCTAACGGAGCGGATGGCACAGACGCTGTCGAAGCCCCGGAACACCGTTGACTTTGCCGACACCCGTATGCTGTTCAACTCGCTCGCCAAGGTGATTATCGAGACGGGCACGTCTGCTGACCAAGTGTTTAACGTTGATGAGACTGCGTTTTACAAGGTGGCCAAGAGCAAGCGGGTCATCGCGGTGCGTCGCTCGAAGAATGTGTGGACAACTACACCTACTACCAGCTTCCACATGACCATCATTGCCTGCGGAAGCGCGGCAGGCTTTATCGTTCCTCCGGTCTTCATTCTGCCCGGAAAGACAGTTAGTCTCGACATCCTAAAGGGGGCTGAAGTGGACGGAGCTGGCATTACTTCAACCCCGTCTGGGTTTGAGCATGGAGTTGTTCGAGGAATGGCTGTCATTTTTTTGCGGCGGCGGTCCCGTTGACGGTCAAGCGTCCGCTCAATTTGGTGATGGACGGGTGTGGGTCTCATTATTCCTCTGAAATTGTCGAGCTGGCTACCAAGCTGCACGTAACGTGGTTTACCAATTCATGACCTCTGACCAGTTCATGGACTACATCGACTATTATCCAATCCAAACTTCTTATTTGGACTAATATTGCTCTGATTGGCTCAATATTTTTAACCAGATCTTGGCCCTCACGTTTCCTTACGCTGATCCCGTCAGATATCCAGCCCCCTCGAGTCGAGCGTAAGATGAAGGCGGCCTTCACAGACAAGCAGCTAGAAGAACCTATCGACCGCGTCCTCGCAGGAGAGAAGCTCGCAGCCGTGGCCGACTCGTCACCAGTGTCGTTGTCAACACTAAATCGCAAAGTCGCCGCGCGCATCGAAGGTCGATCTATTGAGCGCCAACGGGCCGGACCTGCCCCCCCCCCCCTACTGCCTCCCGAGTGTGAAGCCGATCTAGTGACATGGATCGCTGCAATGCAGCGTCGTCTCGTCCGACAAGCAATGGTGTAGGAGCTGTACTCCAAGCGCGTGACAGCAAAGGCGCCGAAGTGCCTGCAGTGGAGCCGCTGTTCATCATCGAGAGCGCGACGGTTTGAGTTTGGTATGAGACTTTGTATGGGATCGCGTCGGTCCAACATCTGGTCAGTGCGTCATAAAAAAAATCCGCTTTGTTTGCTTCGCTGTTGTTTGCTCATATTTGCTCATAAATTAGAGCGAGGACCCTCAAAATTAAGAATGCCGACTGCTTGTATAAATGCTAGTGTTGTAGCATCGCTGCTCTTATATTGGTGTCGTCATCGACGATTTCGCATGAGGTGCTGCTGGCGGGTCATGAATTGGTAAACCACGTTAGTGCTGATGTGCCTACCCGCGAATGCAACACACTTGTTTAAGCCTCTCGCCGTGGCTGTTTTCGTCTCGTTCACGTGAAAGTTGCGCGTTATCGTGAACGAATTTGCAGAGGAAGACAATGCCGGAGGCTATTCTATCGACAAAGCAACTGCTGTGAGGATCGCGTGTATGACATGGAAGCGCTGCAGGTTTGCGACGAATGTCCAGTCGGGGTTTAAGGTATGTGGTCTGTACCCGTTGTCACTTGTGAATATGCAGCACAGGATGGATATCTACACGCGCAACGGCACGCCAGCGGACATCCGACTCACGGCGTGGCTGCACGTGGAGCTGTCCGTTTGCCGAGAGATTCTCACGCTACCGCAGCCTGCTACAAAAGATCAAGCAAGAAAGCGCAAGTCGACGCCTGTGAGCGGAAAGATTCTTACGGCCGCCATGATAAAGGAGCTGGAGCAGCCAAAGCCAAAGAAGAAGGCGAGGGGCAAGCAGCAGGTTGTCATCCTAGACTCTGCGGTTGTTTAGGTAACAAAAAGACAAGCACACAGACATAATGTTAGTTGCAGTTGACGTTGCGGGTTTGGAATGTAAGGTTGCGTTTGACTTACATTTTCGCGCGGAGAATTAACCATACATTTTTGCATGGCGACATACCCTGCTCCACTGCACTCGCTGGTACTCGAACCTACGCCAAGTACAACGGTCCTCAATTAACCCGGTTGCATACCAGCTGAGCTGTCCGCACTTAGTCTCAGAGAGCGAAAGGGGGTTACTGCAATCTGACAAACCTTACTAAATTAATACCCCGGATAATGTTTGAGCTTACACCTCGATGGCGGTCCGTCAGCACCTAACCACAGGCATGTCACAATACTCAAAGCTCTGATATAAACAGAAACCCATACTCAAAGTAAGATTAAAAAACGACACGAAGCTGGTTGGCACCCTCCTGAAACAAAACTGTAGATAACGGGGCTTTGGAAGGTGTTTAAATAATGGTAAAAATTACAGGGAAAAGCTGAGAAAGAGAGTTGCTTCAACCTGTCATCTATAATTGCCAACTCACCGCCGTTGTAGAGAACTGAGCAGCTAAAGACATGGGTTCAAAAACGACACGTTATTGGTCGGCGGCCTTAATGTAACATTTCGGCAACTTCAATATGTTGACGAACAACAGCGAATTATCGACTGGAACGCAGCCGCCGCAGCCATCCAAAATTGACTCAGTGCCGGACTTCAGGGTTGCTCGAAATCATATTGTATTTTAATTGAAGGTCATTGCCCGGACCAATCAATAATTTGTTTATTCTGGGATAGCAGTAAAACCGCTAGCGCAGCCCACATCCGAATTTTTGAAGCCGATCAGATGAAGCCTCCCGTTGAAGTTAACATGTTAACTATATAGAATCATTTGGACTCAGAATTCAGGATACTTGAATGAGCGGGTCCGGAAGTTCTCAGGTCAGAATATCTCGAACAATTGAGGTGACTCACCTACGTGGTTCATTCCTAAATTTGCAAGATATACCTCGCAAAATGTTTTAACTAGATAGCAGTTTTCTGACACTTTGGCCTCGTGCAGGTGAAGTGGAGGGTGAACAGTAGAGTGAATATTCCATAGAATTGACTATATTATAGTGGTCTTGTCAACGGCACAAGTTACAGTTTTGACAAAAAAAATATGCGTGTACAATTTTTTCGGAGTATTTTCTGTGAGTGTGATGGTCTATATTTTACTTCGTGACGTTAAGATTACCGTACTTCACAAAATAAATGTTTTTTGAGATTTCGAAACTGCACTCATCTTAACGTGAAAAAAGTCCAATTTTTCGTAAAACTGCAGGTTTTTGTTAACCCTTTTGCGATGGTTCTGTGTAAAACATGGCTAACTAGCATGTTTTACAAAATCGCTCCAATCAAAATTTTGAATGATAATTTTAGCCAGTAAGGGTCGGAGCGGTAACCGTACTGAAACATGGCTAAGCACGACGTCCAAATGAAAAAGCAGGTGAATTTTCGACTGACAACTTATTTGTAAAATCGAAAAAAGTGGGAAATAAGTCGCTGCGAAGTCCAAGTAAAAATCGGCGACTTTTCAAAAAAAACTTTTAAAGTAGAATGCATATTCAATATGCTTTACAGTAGGCTGTTTCTGTTGCACTTCATCGAGTGCGCACTCCTTCACTCCAGCACTGCAACGGCGCCACCATGACGCCAGCCCCGGCCTCCAGAACTCCTTCTCCAACTGAGTTCGAATTCGGAATCTCCACGCCTCCTGAGATGCCGCACAACGTCGCTCGACAACTCCGGCGAGCGTCTAAGACACGCAATGCGTCATCTTCAGTCGGTTCAAGTGATCAACCACGCAAAAGAACCCGATGCCTTCTTGATGATCCAGGGTCTCCTCATGAAGAAGAAACCGAAAGCAACACGCCATCACCGACAGAGTTAGCTGCACCACTAAACGCGTCGGCGGTGAGTACATCTGGAGGTGGTGCTGCCAAGGTCAAGCCCACCGCAAGCGCGCCGAAGCGAAGCCGACCCCCAAACGACGCTGCCAGCAGCATCAAATCCCACGCGCAACGGAAAGATCGCTAAGAAGACAGGTGGCAAGACCAAGGCCCACGCTGTGAAAAAAAGCACACCAAGAAGTCGGCAGGCACAAAACCCAACTTGCCATCAACTGATGGCGTGGACGACAAAACCAGGAGCATGCGCTAGACCATCTTGCTGACGACGCTGGCCATAGAGGCCCGCTACAAGAACAAGATAATTTTGAAGAAGTTCCGCACCACAAACACCGACACAAAAGGGAAGCGCGCGAAATGGGAAGACATCATTGCCGGTTTTCACCAGCGCGCGCTGGCAAAGGCAGCATGGGGAAAGGAGAAGCCCGTCAACGTGAGTGTGAAGCAGTTCAAGAAGAAGCGCTCGCAGCTGCTTGCTACCGGTAACCGATCGGGTCCCGCACTGATGAAGAAGGAAGCAGTCCAGAACCACGTCAGTACTGAAATGCCTGCTGATTATTTGATCACGCAAGTGGAGAATGTTGGAGACAGCAGTGATGCTTCCTGCAGTGGTACCGCTACTCGGCACTTGACATGCGATCCATTAAATGTGCGCCGCTCATACCGAGATAGCCTCGGCACAGAGTTGGCGGCGCTTTGGCCGTTATTGTGCGATATTTTTTGGCGAAGCCATAGCTGAGTCTGGTTTAGCTGGTGCATCGGATAACTCAAGTGACGAGGCCACTGAAGAGGTTGATGACTCCGAAGATGAAAGTGTGGACTCGCCAAATGAAGCCCGTGAAAAAGCGAAAGCTAACGCAAAAAAAAAAAACGAAAACGCAGCAAACCAGACCCCCGTCAAATAGGCCAGTGGATGTTGTCAGCGTGAGTATTCGCTACGGCTTCGACAGCATGACGAAACTACTTTCGACACGTCAGCAACCGGCATTTGTCGGTTCGAACGAACTTGAACTTGAGGTTGTCACAGATGTCAATTAGCAGATTGTGCAGGACAGCGGCAGCGCAAATCATCCGGGCATTTCTCTTATGTGTACGCCGGTCGGTCACGCCATGAAGGACTTTGAAGGGAGCCTTCCACTTGCCAAACACGGACTCGACAAGAATCCTGGTGGAAGAGAGGTGGTAGTTAAAACTAAAACACAGTTACGTTGACACAAATACAGTTAGCTAAACCCGCTAGTAATATAGGCACTGTCTTCCGATGAATGACGTACCATCGCTGATTCCGAGTAAGCCAAATGGCACCATTAGAAATGGCCACAACTTGAACACAGAGTCACCGAGCCAATTAACCCCAGGAGGACAGATCTCTCTAGCCCGAGGCCCCAGTACCTCGGACTGGTTCCACATCGACTGGTCCGAGTTGCTCCCGCTGAAAACGCCAAGGTAGCAAAACTTCTTGCGATAATCAATCGCAGCCAGGCAGTTGTAGGAAGGTGCTCCACTCTTGTCATAAAACCCCTGTACCGTGCAAGTCACCATTGTCAATAAACCCACCAAAACAAAGCGTGCAACAGCAAGATGCGCACTTTACCTGATGCTCGCTGGGCATTCTAGTCCTTATCAACGCACCATCAAATATGCACGCCACATCAGGAAACGCCCCTCCCCGGGCAGCAAAACCATCGACAAGAGCACTCCATTCTGCGTCATCTGTTGGAGCTGGGAAACGAATGACATCTTTCATTATTCCATACAGAAGGTCTTCGATCTTTTAATGTATCGACTTGCCACTGTACGAGACATTCCCAGCTGAGCTGCCGCACCTCCGATGCCATCCCCATCTTGCCCACATCCATTCCCATAGTATGTGAGTAACACAGCTAGTCCATGATCGAATGTATACTGCTGATTTGATCCGGGTAGCCCATATTTGTGGTAGTAAAGGGGCTCCAGCATCGAGCACAAAGCGTCAAATGACTGGTGTACAGCGCAGAGTTTTACGATACGCCTTCCGTGAAGGTTGCATCTTCAGCGTGGGAAAAAAGTCTGTCCGCACCGTGATTTTATCCTCTCGTGGACCTCGCAGTGATCGTCCGTCGAGCTGACCGATCGCAGCTTCCATCATAATGAGAGGCATAAAGAGCATAACTATCTCTTCATCATTAAGATCACTCAGTAGACTGGGAGCGGTGGCGGCATCTATGAGCGACGTGCTATCGCTCATCGACACGTCCTCAGTGCCGCTATCTTTGTCGATCGCGGTCCCCCGGCTCTCCACACCCCCGGCTTCAGCATTCAACACGACTCCGCCGCTGCTCGTCGCAGTACCGGCCGCTCTGTCGATGCCGTGGACGCGATTATCCGGTGCTACAGGAAATTGGACTGCGCGTCTGTTGCCAGGTAATGTCTGCTCTTGTGTGCCTCGCCTTGAGGGAACGCTTGTCGCCATGAAATCGGCGGCTGAACACTTGCCGCGTCGTGAAACCCATGTCCAGCGCTTCACGCGTCATCTGCGAAGCGTCCCCACCGCCGAATCGGTGCATCGAGCGCTGCAGTAGCGTCACTGCGCTGCTGTGCCCGTGCTGTTTGCTGTCCAAGCTGGCTCCGATGACAGAATAAGTCGCTGCCTACCACAAAAAATAGGTGACAAACCTACTTTTTATCCGACTTATATGTCGGCCAAACGCCCGATGACTTATTTTCATTGCATACGCATTCTGTCAAAAGTCGGTGATTTTCCATTTGGACATCGTTCTAAGTAGCATGCTTTACATTAGGTACGAACAAAACCCGGTCATATGTCCGATTCTAGTTTGCGGATTGCGGTGTAAACCCATGCATCTAGCAATGTTGTATAGTTTTGTATTGGGAGGTACCCATACAAATTCCAAGTATAAAATTCATCGCAAAGGGTTAAGATTCAGCAGGGGGAAATCAAAATTCCCATTGGTCAAAATGCATCCATTACGCTGGGCGGCATGACTAATACTGTACTATCACATTACTTACCTTACAAAATACTATTATACTAGTGTTAGTACTTGTATTCGGCAGAACCCGACATAGAGGACCCATAACCTACGACGTTAGTACCCGTGTACACCAGTCACACCACACCGAGCACGTTCAAGTACCTGGACGTGCAGGGCACCACGACAGTCATGCTGAGCAAGCCATCGGACCCAGCGTAGTGTGCCTACCTTTATCGATTCTAGATAGTCGAGCGTGCTCGTTCTCAACGTCGGCGTGCGGCAAAAACTTCTACGCAATTATAGCCGTCACTGTGTTAACAGTACTGCTCAATGAATGACGAGCCGCGGGTTGAATAGATCTTCAATTCTAACCTGCACTGAGTGGAGCGACTTCCACAGTCATTTGGTAGACCTAGATCGGTTTAGTTAAGACTTTTAGTTGGGTCTTAGAGTGCTGAAAGGTCTTTTTAAGACCTCCAATTTGCCGATTTGCGACATCCAAAACATAGGTTTGGTATAGATTTCACTTGGCTGTTTGTATGTTAAGAAAATTCCATCAAATGAAAAAAATCACGCCAAAACCGCGAAACTGCAGTTATTTTGTTAAGCATTTATTTTGTGATGTACGGTAACAAGTACAACGAGATCGCCTCTTGTTGTTGTGCATTTTTTTCACTGTTTTGGTATCAGTAAATGTAACGTACAGCTGATTTATTTGTGAAGTTGTCATGCGAACAACCAAGCTATCCCAGTCTACGCAAAGCTCTAGTTGCTGCACGATTTCAAACTACACCGGCGATCGCATCAATGGGGCTATCAGCTACGAATCTTTATGCTAGCAGCTGCAGCACCCATGGCGAATCAGCGCGGCTGTGGCGATATTCCGTCCCTCCATGGGGTGGCCAACCTCGTTAGATGCTCTATGGAATACGTGGGCTTGGCTATCTAACCCACCTTAATAGTTTGGCACTCGTGCTGCGCTGGATGACACCTCCCATCAAGAGCTCTTCGATCACTTAAACCACGAGGCGGAGCTTCTTTCCGCTGCCAATGTTGAGCCAGAGCTAGAGCTGCCATTGTGCGTCCGGCGTTTGAAGCGCCAACACAATACACTGGAATCCTCGATCGCCTAAGCTACGGATGGATTCGTCCCTCCCACAGTCGTTGTGAGCGTGTTGGCCTGTGGGGAATCTGGGTCTTGAGTACCTGCTTGATGTGATTGGTCTTGACAAGGATACCGGACTGCTTGGCAGCCTCGAAGGGAACGGCTCGGTGTCAATCCATACGCGCCGAAAAGAGTAAGAAGATCTTGGTAGGAACGCAGGTAAGTTGCTGACGAGGCATGTGCGGACGCTTTTCACGTCGCCAGCTACCAGGTGGGTGCTTAGCAAGCAGGTTCTGCCCACATAAGTGGTCGAATTGCAGAACCATAAGGCGGTATCCGGGCGCGGCAGAATGGACCTTTATTTGGACGTGATTGGAGCTCGGCGCAATCAATAATTTCGTGTGTTTTAATTTAATTAATTGTTAGACAACTTGTTTTTCGAGCAACCCTGCCGGAAGTCACCCGCCATACTTTCAATTCGACCGCATTCGAGGCAAGTCAATGGACAAACACAGCGTGAAGGGAGCGACTCCCTATCAATCTTACACGAGCTCCTGAAGCGCAGTATTGACGGAGTTCTGCCCCGCGAGCGCAGGCCGCCATCGCCACCAAGTTTGATGAACACAGGCACACAGTTCGAAGTATCTGGGACCTCTACAACGTGTCGGTCGCTGCAGGCAACATTGCCGGCGATATATCCTGCAAGTTCAAAGGTAACTCGGGCAGGAGAGGCTACAACAACGACGAGATCAAGAAGAAGCTCCAAGCGGTCCCAGCTGAGCAAAGGACGACAGTCCGCGCCACCGCTCTCAGCGTCAAGGTCTCTATCAGTGTGATTCAGCGCCTGCTGGCAAGCCGGGACGTCGTCCCAAGGTCTACAACAATCAAGCGTGTTCTCACCGAGGATAACCGGCTTCGACGTGTCCAGGACGCGCTCTCCTTCCTCGACGACGAAGTTGGTCAGCATGGAGACGTAGTGGGCCACGCCTTCGACCCATGCTCAACATCGTCCACGTGGACGAGAAGTGGTTCAACCACGACAGGAAGACCCGGCGATACAACTTGGTGAAGGGAGAGAAAGCACCGCAGCGCCACCGACACAGCGATCGACACGTTGACAAGGCCATGTTCCTCGCTGCTGCCGACCAAGGTAAAGTGTGGTGTATTTTATACACTCTCAAAATTAATTTTTAGCATGGCCTAGTTTTGTGCTTTTGTTTTTGTGGTATCACATCACAGGAAGGCAGAGTTTGACGGCAAAATTGGACTCTGGCCGTTTGCAGAGGACTACGTAGCCGAGCGCAGTAACAAGAATAGAGCTCAGGGAACACTGCTGAAGAAGAACATCAATTCTGTGAACAGTGAAGTGTACAAGTTCTTCTCGACTATGTTTTCGGTGCGATACGAGCGAAGTGGCCACGCAAGGACAGAGGGGAGATCATATACGTTCAGCAAGACAACGCTACTCCCCTTATACAATCAACAGATCTCGATGTACAGCGGGAAGGTAAGCGGGATGGGTGGGATATTCGGCTTCTGTTTCAGCCGCCAAACCCGATTTTAATTGCCTTGACTTCGGCTACTTCTCAGTTATCCAAGCGCTGCAGTACAAGACGTACGTTGCGACTACTCAGCAGCTTGTAAAGGGATCGTTCAGAAACTTAGATAAACAGAAGCTGGAAAGTTTGCCCTCCTATTTATATTGTTACCGAATTTGTTTTGTAGAGGGATACACCCTACCAGAGCTAAAATACCAGAGGCCCGATTTTGCTTTAAAAAAACAAATAGGCACCGGACGCCCAGATGTATTTATCAAAATTACTAAACTGAGCACTCTACCTCAAGTCTCTCAAGACCGAATTTCACCAATGCGGCTGCCGACACAGCCCAACTTATTAGCTTGTTCGCCGCCACCACCCCAACTTGAGATCGAAGTTCAGTAGGGCAAGCTTTGCGTTTGTTCCTGCCGCCGACAGAAGCACCCACAGCAGCTATAGAGCTAAACGACGAGCCATCTCAACACCGTATCTACAGTAAAACAAACATTGCAGTTGTTGTGAATTACTGGTCCTCACCTGTTGCTAGTGTTGCAGTGTAGCTTTTGCTCTACAGTAAGTTGAAGTGCAGATACACAAAAGGCTCAGGAGCTGGGAAAGGAGAAAAGTAAAGAGGGGGAAACCACATAACACAAAAATACAACGGGAGCAGCAAGTCGCTTTACTCTCCCGCAGCGCGTTCACCTTCTCTTCCTCCTTCGTTGTGCGGTGTGAGTTACAGACGCACGCAAAAGCAGCCAAGTTACAAGTGCAGTGTAGTCTCAGGTGCTCGAAAATTGCCTTCTTCATTGCAGCAGTGTAAAATGGTCGGGCCCGCGTCGTTTTCCACCTGCCTTGACCTCCAGAAAGGCGAGGGTGACTTGGTGACGCCCGCGCCTTTGCAGAAATGATCGCGCGCTGAGCGGCCGACAGTGCAAAAATTACTGGCTTAAAACTGGTGTATCCCTCACAACAAGTCAAGCCCTGTCAATCTGAAGACACAATTGTGATTGGCTAATATTATCCTGTATCCCATAGGTGGGTGCACACCTTGTACGAGCCCGAGCCCGTCAACTTCAAAAGTGGGCTCCCCCTAATACGAGAGCCAAAAGTCGCACAAAATGGGCTCCCT